GAGCCTCAGCTTCTTCATTATTTAAGTGGAGACAGGATTCATTTGAGATTAAATTAATTCCTGAAATATACTTGGCAGTTAATAAATATTAGTTCCCAAGCCATGCCCCCATGTTTCTGCTCATGCTGGGACATGTCTCTCAGATGCCCTTCTCTTCTCCATCTCGTGATATTTTACCTATTCTTCTGGTCCACTTCTACCCAGACTCCTTCACAGAGGCTTTCAGAGAACAGAGAGCTTATCATACACCTTACTCAGCTTAGGTGCCTTACTTTTTAATTTTAATGTTTCAAATGTTGTTAATCAGCAAGTTATAAACTTCAGGAAGGCTTGGCCCAGTGCTTGGCACTTAAATGCACCCAATAAGTATTAACGGTTAGGACTCCGTGCTTTCACTGCTGGGACCTGGGTTCGATCCCTGGTCTGGGAACTAAGATCCTGCAAGCCTCGTGGTGTGGCCAAAAAAAAAAGAATGCATGAGATTTAACTTCAAGGTAATAACACTAGTTAGCAAATTGCGCTTTAAAATTAGTCTAATTATTGTTCCAGACACATAATTGGTGATAAGTGCAAATTTGTTTAGTAAATGTAGCAATAATTGGTATCTCAGCCTCTAAGACCCTGTATTATACCACTGAATATTTTAACAGTTCAGTATGTCATTGGGGGGAAATGGGTGAAGGTGGTCAAAAGGTGCAAACCTCCAGTTATAAGAAAAATAAGTTCTGGCATGTAATGTACAGCATGGTGATTACAGTTAACAATACTGTATTGTATACTTGAAAGTTGCTAAGAGAGCAGATCATAAAAGTTCTCATCACAAGAATAAAAACTTGTAACTATGCAAGGTAATGGATATTAACTAAACTCATTGTGGTAATCATTTCACCATACAATAAGTCCCCTACATACAAACCTTCAAGTTGTGAACTTTCAGATGTGAACGTGTGTTCCATCAACGTCAGGCATGTGTGAAATTGCACCTTGCCCTCCATCTCCTATTGCTGACGATCCTTCAGCTCTGCCATGTCCTACCTCCTCTCCCTCCTGCTGTCAATAACTCTTCTTGCCTGTTCACTCGATGCCAGCCCCTGGATGCCAGCTGTTGACTGTACTACTGTACTTTTCAAGGTACTGTACTGTAAGATTAAAAATGTTTTCTTTATTTTTTGTTTGTTTGTTTTTTATGTGTTATTTGTCTGAAAAGTATTATAAACCTATTACAGTACAGTACTATATAGCTGATTGTGTTAGTTGGGTACCTAGGCTAACTTTGTTGGACTTACGAACAAATTGGACTTATGAACGTGCTCTCGGAATGGAACTTGTTCGTATGTACGGGACTTACTTGTATATACGTATATCAAATCATGTTGTACACCTTAAACTACTACAATGTTATATGTCAATGATATCTCAGTAAAACTGGGAAGAAATTAAAATTTTTTCATTTAAAATATATACCATCAGAATTTACCAGTGGAATGTATCATTCCTAATAGTTTAACATACTGTAATTCTCCAATTCTAAGAAGTAATTTGGTCTCACATTGTAACATCTCTGAAACTGGGATGTGTCTTACTATTAAAGAAACAGCCAATGGCCAGGTGGCAGTCCTGATATAGTTGGCATTGCCTTTGTATTTGTGAACATGGTTATAACTACTCGAATTTCATCATTTCACTGAGTTCTGTGCAATTTAATACTACATTTATCAAAGCCATATGCTAAGAAATGCAGTTGAAGGCAGGAGAAATTGCCAGATGTGTCAGATTAGATGAAAGAAATTCCAAAACAACAAGAGGCTAATATAACCAATTCATGTACCACACAGGTCAATAGTGAAGGCCTGGAACTTGTCAGAAACTTCCTTCTGGCCATTAATAGAGAGGCTACATAGGTTGTAGTGACATATAATTCAGTTGAACAAGAAAACTATGCTTTTAGTCAAATAGGATTATGCCAGCATCAGACTTGAAGAATGAGTGTCTGGCTAGGAAGCAAATCTCAGAGACAAGCTAGGACATCCTTTTAAGAAATGCTATATTATCAATGATATTGTGTGGAAAAACACACTTATTGATGCTCTGTGTGAAAAGGGATTCAGGAGAATTAGACTCTGTGTACAGAATTTGTAGAAATACTTTAATCAATTTATTTTGCTTATATTTTCCTTTTCTAAATATGCACATTACTGAAAAATTTATACCTAAGTCTAAAAGCACTGTTTCAGTAAGCATTAAAAAGATCCTATGTGACAACACATTGTGTCATAGTTCAGTTGGCAGCTCTTTTTCTTTCTCGGTGGTACATACAATCAAAGATGTCCTAGATTTGAATAGATGTGGTAAATTGAATGGAGGCTAAAATGGGCAGTAGATCTGTGAATTTCCAAGCTTCCCTTAGTGAAGGGACAGAGCTTGGTATTTTGTCATTGTTCTTGTTTTGGTGGGTATTATGCTGTTGCTTAGGAATGAGGTAGGGAGATCCTGCGATTTCTTCACAATTATCAGTTAGGCTTGTTTTCAGAACCAACATAATTTGAAGAGAAGCTAGCTTCTCACATCACCATTTACAACTTCTTAACATAAGTCACAAATTGCATTCTGAATTAGGTAACATTTCGTTTGTCATTAGCTAAGCACTTTTAAAATTAAATGTATTATATTTTTCCAATATAAAAGTAATATGGGTTAGTATAGAAAATGTCCTATATTAAAAAGTGGGTAGGTATAAGTATGTAAGCAGCCATATTTCTTCCAACCAAAATATTTGGTAAATTTCTTTTTTTAGACAAATTTTTTATAAATGTTTTGATGCCATTTCTTCTAGTTTACAAAAATATCTCAGATCAAAGTAAGATATATTTAATGTACAGTATTTGGAAAGTATAGCAAAGTATAAATAAGCATGAAAAACATCAGGCTTCATCTCACCACCACCCAGAGATTGCCTCTTAATATTTTTGGCCATCACATTCAACCTGTCCAGGGCAGACAGGAGCATTCAGTGGGTGCTCGATACATCCTTACTGAATGCGTGAATGCCAAAAAAGAGAATTTGGAGAACAGCCCATATGTCTTGCTAATAGAATTAATTATACAGATCTTATGGTCTAAAAATCATCTGTCTTCTCAACTTTGCCTTATGCTTCTCACATAGCTGGAGCTTGTCCAGGAAACAACCAACTTTCTACCACTTGTCAACGGAGCACTCTGGGGCAGTTGGCCATTGTCCTCACATCACTCCTCTCATTCATTCATTCGTTCATTCAACAAATATTTGTTAAGTGCCCTCTATGTGCCTGGAATACAGAGGGGGTAATAAAGAAACATGGCTCCTGCCCTCTTGCAGCTTTCAGTCAAAAGAAGATAAAACAGATAAACATAAAAATGAATATATGATTAAATATATTTGCGTATTGTGGCAAGTGGAGAAAAGGAAGAGAACAGGTGGCTGGGAAAATAAATAAGCCATAATCTGATTCAAGAGGGAAGGCCTCTCTGATGGAGTGACAGGTCAGAAGGTCAAGGAGGAACAAAAGGGAAGATTCTGAGGCTGTCAAACTTTAAGTGGGTGTAGCCTAAAAACAGTGAAGGAACAAGTATTGCGGGAAAAGACTAGGCTACAGACGCAAGCACTTCCTGTAGGGCCTCGTACGCTATGGAGAGGATTTTGAGTTTTATTCTGTGTATGCTTAGAAACCAATAAGCTTTTTTGTTGTAATTTAAATTGCGTTTACTTTTAATAGGTAACATTCGCAATCCAAAGTATACAAGATCCAAAGATTATTGAATGAAAACCCTCCCTCCAGTTTCCTAGGCACCCAGTTTCCCCTCCCCCGAGCTGGCTGTAAGTATACCTCCGGAAATACTCCAGGCACAAACAAGAAAACTTATCAGTCTGTAAGATATTTTAAGCAGGGGAGCAAGGCATCGGATTTGTGTTTTAAGACAACCCGAATACTGAGAGGCGTCTGGCTTTCTGCGTTCAGAGCTACGCGCTCCAGCTCACGCATTTCACAGACCCTACTCTGCTCGGCATT